TATATATATATATATATATATATATATATATACACATGTATTTTTTGTATAGGAAAGTAGGAAATCAGCTCAGCTGCTCTCCAACATTCCCGTCTGTCCAGAGCCGGGGGATCACAGAGTGGCAGACACTGGGAAACATTTCACCTGAGACTTAAAACTGGTAGCTGACGCTAATCATCTTTTAAGTGGCTAATGGGTGCCCAGAGACATTTTTATGAGATAGAGTACAGCATTAAGTCAGGAATAAGAGCGAAGCATGGATCTCCTACCTTGTGGTGTAGAGCACTGGGTTCTGTGAAACTGATGAAGTTAGGAGAGAGTTAGGAATGTCCCCTGCCTCACTCAGAGGCCAGAGTGGCCTGAAAAAGCAGGCTGGAAGTCAGAGACAGAGAGTCACTCCTCATGGATACCCAGTCAGGCAGTCCGGGTCTGATTCCAGACACGCAGACCTTTGAGAAGCTGCTGAAGTGTAGCCTCAGCCTAAACTCTCACAGTTGCCTGTGGCTTTCCTCAGTTCCTCGCATTCAAGGAGATGCCTCTAAAATGGAATCATGGCCTCCAATCAGGTGACAGTCCCAGCTCCCAAGGGAGACGGGGGATCCACTGAGGGAGACGCAGAGGAACCTGTCACTTGAGACTTTGAGATCAGCAGCCAGGCTAGTCCCATTTAAGTGGCTGATGAACACCTGATATTGTGTATCATAAATGGCTTCTGTCTATAAGGACAGTGAAAGAAAAGGCAGGCTTGGATGCCAATACTCACCTCCGAAGTTATCCCGGACGAGCCCCCAAAAATGATGCCGGGGTTCTTGTTTGCAGAGTCAGACAATGAACTTAGCAAACACCCAAGGTAGGAGAGCCAGGGAGAGGCTTTTATTGAGAGATATAGTGAGTGGACAGAGCTCCTGACTCATGCCAAGAGGGGACAAGAGAGCCCCTATATTGTAACAAAATAGTTTCTGAGCCTGGGATACCATGAAAACTCTAATCTGTGTTAGGCATATTTCATTTAAGAAGGCATGCCATACAGGTGTATGTATATGAGGAAAAATCCACCAAGTTGCATATATAAGATTTACGAACTTTTTTGTATGCAATTTTAACTCACTTAAAGAAGGAGGTATAAAAGTGTGTGTTACACCACATTAACTATTAACAAAGACATGTGGGACGCCTTTGGATAATTGCTCACCTGTTCACCCACCTATTCAGAATATTTGGTGAGTAATTTAGCATCTTAAGCATATTATAAATTATCTGTTCATTCATCTAGTTTTTTTAAATGTGCACCATATTATTCTCATGCTATATTAAGTACCACATTTGTCAGTCTCATTTAAGAGACTAAGTGTTAGGATTGTGAAAAGAACTTCTTGTGTCCTGCTTTGGGCATTTTCTAGAACAGTGAACCAGGCTAGAGAAATTTTCCACAGTGGCCACAGATCTAGAACAAATATTTTCAAGCTCCGAAGCCCTGGTGGCACCCCAGAACCCCAGACTCTGGAGCTGCAGATCTCTATTTGAACATTCTGAACCTTCCTCCTCAACAATAGACAGATTGATTTTGTGGTCAGAAAGTCTGTGCTTAGATATAAGGCAGGCTAAAAATTTGAATTTATGCAGTTTGGAGAAGGCATAGAGATAATGTCAACTTTAATTCCTGTTTTTTTCCAAACACAGGGAAGAGGCCAAAGGTTATGAGTGGAAATTAAAGAAAAATGGAAAACAGATGTGAGGAAGCTCACTATAGGAATGGAAACACAAGCAGCACTGAATATTGTTAAAGAAAAAAAAAAAGATTACTGCTTTAAAAACATCCAGCCAGTGAAGAGCTTATGAAAGTACTATTTTCATAATGGTATGTTTAAAATCATTTGACTTTTTAATATTTTACTAAAGTGATTTAATTCCATATATTCTCTTCCTTCAAGGTAAAGACATAATTTAGGAGCAAAAGAAGGTTTTAAAATCTGCCCAGTATATACTCTATCTAAAAACATAATACCTGGCAAACAGGCTCTTCTCAGCAACTGAAAATATAGGTGCTTCCCTGCCCTGTCCAGCATTGAACTTCAAAAAAAAAAAGTTTCTCTTTTCTTTTAATGGACAATGTTTGCTACTTTTCAAAATGCATTTATTCTTAAATTATCTTTCTATTAGATCACTTGAATAGATTCCCTTGACATTGACAAGAGCTATACAGATTTACTACGGTGAGAAATAGGTACTTAAGCAGAAACTCCTTTTCGATTACAAAATACATCATAATGATTCCCAAATAGATTGTTGAGATATTTTTGTATTTAAAGAGGATCCATGTGTTTTGATGTGTTTTGACTCATATATTATCTTCAGCTTAAATAAAGGAAGGGATTTCAAGATCTCTATAGAAGTACATAAATGTATGCATGGTGTCTTATAAACAAACACAACGGACATCTAGAATTTGTCTCATAACTTTTTCCCTTGTTATCTTAAAAAGTCAGATAAGAGTCATAAAAATGAAAATGAGGTATTATGATGTGGTTAAAAAGCAATTTTCAAAGTTTAAAAGCACACAAAAATTAAGAGAAGACATTTAAAATACATAATCTTCAGCATATCTTTTGATCAGAAAGCCCTCCCTGCCTGCCACCGATTATTTTCTTATGTGTCTATGTGTTTGGTTTGTTTAGTATTAAACAATTGACTTAAACGTTGACAAAGGGGAGTTGGCGTGCATCTGCAGTGGGTATATAATTAGGAGGCTGTACTTAAGGATCATTGCTGGATGCATTTACATTAGAGATGTAATTATGAAGAAAGACAAGGCAGAGCAATAGTCAAGGCACGAATGCCAGAATGGACTTGGAAACCCTGCAACTAAAATGAGTTCTCTTGTAGATTTTCAGTCATCCCAGTCACGTGCTACAGGGCAACGACAACAGTGGAATAAGGAAGAGCCTGGGAGCCACCAAGTCCAGACTCACTGGCTTCCAGCCAATCATCTTCCCTTGTCCTCTCTTGCTCTCATCCTATCCTGCCAAACAAAATCCGTGGCATACCACTTTTATGTGCATTCTTATTTTCTTATAAGTAGACACATTAATATGATGGGTTTAACTGTAGTTCATCTTATTTATGAGCCTCTGCTTAAATGTTAATAGCCTGAAGTCAAGTATCAAACACAAGAATTTAGAGCTAAAGATCGTGCAAGCCATACTTAGTGACTACACGACAGGGTCACCTTCCTGCCAGTCCTGTTTCTTTAGCTATTTTAATCTTTATCAACAGCGAACACTTACCATTCTTATTAAATGCCAGGCACTGTTCTGAACGCTTTGGATATGTTAACTCTTTTAATTCTCACAATAATTACATCAGGCAGCTATTATCATTACCATCTCCATTTTAAATTTGCAAAATTGAAGCACTGAGAAGTTAAGTAATTTGCCCAAGGTCACACAGCTAGGGAATGGCAGAGCAGTGTATAACTCTGGAAACTTGTGCTCTTAACCACCATAACACCATCTGTGCCTATCTGCAGTTGCCAGATAAATAATTTTACAGTAATCTTTCATTGTTGGAAGGAGTCAAAATTGTTAGATTGGATGTGTGCTGAATGGTTCATGCACAGACAGTGATGGGGAGTTTTCCCAACTCTCCAAGTTCACTTGTATGTGGAATATACCACTTGCACTGTGCCACATAGCACTAGATGTACTTTTTAAATCACCATGTAAATTCGTCATCATCCTGTCTGTAGTGTGACTCATAACCTCAACATTAGCAAGATAAACTGATGCTTCATAAAATAAGATAAGATTGAGTTTGAAGACTAATTAAAGAGAAGGAAGCTGATCTCATGTCCATTAAATTTCTAGTTTGGTCTGTTTGGAAAGCATCCAAAGGGTTAATATATGTTTCACTGGAGAGTAAGGAAAATTCAGTACTGATGAGAAATTAGGTCAGGGTGAAAAGAAAAACACAGAATATAAAGTAAAGAAGACTTTACAGAAATAATTCCTTTCCCTTGCATTACACAGAACCTTCGAATAAAGGAAAAGGTTACCCTTAGATTCTTCTTGCCCTGCCTATCAGTAATCTTTATTACTAAGACACAACAACTTTATTTCATAATCATTTTCTTCCGGCCAACCAGCTGTGGTTACTCAAGACAGATTAACTAGAACCTGATGGATTTCAGCCCCTGTTCAGCAATACCAGCCAAATACTATAATTACACAGGATGCAGACTGAGATAATGTCGACCTTGTATTTAGAGATAGTCCTAGATAAGTTGGTTGAACTGTCAGATTTGTGGGTCAGGCTTTTCCATCACTTGTACTGTATCGAAGAGAAAGACAGGAAAGAGAGAGAAAAAAGACCTCTCATCATTTTAGCTGTCCCAAAAGAAGGCATCTAATAAAGACTAAGACTTTATGAGGTAGGAGTGGATTCACCAGCATAGATCTTAAAGAGCTGTGTGGAGGAAGCGCCTGCACTGAGGTGAATGTAATCTCTGTCCTTTCTGACCCTATCTGTTCTGTGACTAGGGTATGTGAGAGCCTTTCCATTTGGCAGCTTGTACGGCATGCTGCCGATGTTATGAAACGTACGTTAAATTGGGAAAACAGTTGTCATAAGTGTCCTTTTGGAGGAAATGCATTTCCTTAATAAGAGCACTCCTTTATTTCTCCCATGAATTCAGATAGGGAACACATTCCTGAATGGCATTCTATCAGAGAGGCTGCAAGGGAATGACTTATTCTAAAAATCTTTAATGACCCAGAAGCAGAATATTTTTGGTCCTTATATTATGGACATAAATGCTTAAATTCAGATGTCAAGTGCCAACACCTCAGAGATATGATTGCTTGAAATCAATTGAAGATGAGGGATCCAGGGGATATTTGTTAATGGTTGATGAACAATTCCCTCAATCATTTGGTTATTACTAACCAATTCAAAATGCCTCAGCTCTAGGTCTGTGTAACCAAATTACACTGTGCAAAAGTCTCCTTGCTTTAATAAACTTTAAGTTCAATGTGAAAATATTTTACATATATCAAGTGTTGTGCCATGCTTTTCTTCTAGGTTAATGCTTTCTGAAGCCCTGCCTATTCAGATGTTGTGTCTTTGCCTGTGGACATTTTTTTTTTTCAAGGGATGTCTTTGTTCTCACCCACGTTCTCCTAGTGAACTATTCATCTTTTAAAGCCTACATCAAGACTCTGCTACTTGTTTGCTGTTGTCATTGCCATGTCCCTTTTCCTTTCTACCAGTAATTAATTGCTTCTTCACCTCTGGGTTCATCGTATAGTGTTCCTGCCCCTATAATCCCATGTACTGCATTTTATTATCATCATTATTACTATTAGTTAATAAGCCATTTCTCTAGCTAGAGCTCTTTAAGGGCATAGAGGCTTGTCTTTGATCATCAGCACAAAAGAAGCAGGAGCACCATATGCACTTAATAAACGTCAGGTGGCTGAATGGATGAGTGTGTGAATAAACAGTAAAGTCATTTTAAAGAAAGAGGTTAGTCTTTAGTGTATCTGCTAAGCTAACTATTCGAAATATCAAAGAAGCAAGATCATGTTTTCTAACTTGTAAAGCCAACTGTAGAGTAAGAGGCAACTGAAAGATGACATTGCTCTTATGTATATACTAGAACTCCTCCTTCCTAGTCTTCATTTCCTCTTCATAAGGAGAAAAATTCCTCTTAGCTCTCCAGAACAATTTGTACAAGAAACATTTCTAGCTTCTCTCCACCCTTTCATTTATTCCTATTAATTGTTGAAAATGGGGAAGAAACAAAGCAGAGCCAGGTCAGTACTTTCTGGGTTCTCCTGATATTTCTGCTGCTCTGCTTTCCACCTTCTGGTACCACAACTGTGGAAGCCTGCGTCTGCATCTTTGTGGGGGAGAGAGGGAGCATTTTTAATGCAGAGGTTATTTATCAGGCCTGCAGAAGAAATGCAGTTTATCAGTAAACAAAGTTGTTCATCTTTATTGGTGACAAAGATACCCTTTGAGCTCAATTTATCTGACTCCTATCTCCATCTTTCCTAGTATCCAAACTCAGACAGATATTTATTGCTTTCCTCCCAAAGAACTCCAATACAATGTGTCTAGTTGTGCATTCCTAGAATATTGTGGAATTATAAAATTTTATTGAACTCTTTTTATAAGCACACTGAACCTAAATTTAGTATTTTTTAACACAGAGTTAAGGCAGAGATATCAAAAAAATTTATTTCAGAATCATTCAAAGCATATCTCCCCCGACCCCAAGCCCCCCACTCCAGCCCCATATTGACATCAACCTTGCAGAGGTCTAAATCTTCATCTAATACAGGTACTGAGTATAGCCCACCTTCTGGTTGAATAGACATTCTGTTTCAGCTTGAATCTAGTAACTAGAAACTCACTAACTCTGGGGGCTTCTTGTTTGCTTGTTGGATAACTGCAAAAGTTTGAGAGTGCATTATTCTATTACACAAAAATTTGCTTCTTTGTAAATTTTACTACTTTTACTCTCTGGTGGAATAAAAGCAAATTTACTTCATATTTTTTCCATGATAAACCTTTATAGCTTTAATGTATTTCCTTGAAATCAAGGCCCATCTGTCTTTTGTCCTCATACCCCCTTCTTTGCTTAATATTAATAAAACAAACATCTTTTGAGCACCAGGCACTGTGCCTGGTGTTGGTCATAGAAAAACAAATAAGACACTGTTCCTTTTCTCATAAAGGAAACATGTACATGTAAAGATATGCTTACAAACTGTTGTGTAAATTGCTGCAGTGAAAATGAACAAAATGCAGAGGAACACAAGACAGGGACTACCTAGTACTGCATAAGGGAAAGGGTTA